CTCTTATCTTCATCACTGAACAAGACGAAAGACATCAGAATTTAACGGCCAGATAGCTTTTTGAGAGGGAGCTGGCTGAAGTAATGATGCATGAGCTGGAACAGATGTGTTCTCTGCTGGTCCCACTTAGCAGCCTCATCATGATTTCCACCTGTACAGAGCAGGCAGTCCAGATCCCAGTAGGTTAGCATGGTGTACAGAGCATTTGCTCTATAAATTTTGATTCCTAAGGCTCAGGGGAAATTCTACCAGCCTTTCAATTTCTGCATGCCACGTCGTACCATGCACGTTCTAATCAGTGGGTTTAGCTTGGCTCTTTCTCCTTGCATGTGTCTGTGTGTGTTTTTCTGTAAGTCTGCAAAAGTGGCAGGATGTAGGGCTATCACTAAGAATAATAAAAGTTGCCATTTGTGAGTGCTTATTATCAGCTAGTCACTGTACTAAGCATTTTACGTGCACTATCTTCTTTCATTTCACACTGCCTTAGAGCAGCATATTAGGATACATATTCAGCTAACACAATAAAAGCCTCAATAATGGAGGTTTATATTTGCTCTAGTACTTTCTATTTGATTGCTTTGTAATCCCTAAGCTTGTTCCCATCTGCATGGTCCAAGATGACTTGATATCACCTCCATGTTCCAAGCGCTGGGAGGGAAGCAGAAGCCACATACACGTAGTTACATATACCATTTCTGTTTATAACCTTCTTGCTGGACTCTGGTCCCATGGCCACATCCATATGCAAGAGAGACTGGAAAATGTTGTTACTTGGGCATCAAGTTTCCAACTGCAATTGCAGGGTTCTCAAATGTATGTTGGAGTCCGCCGGCAGAAGCTACACCAAGTATATTTTATTACTCTCATTTTATAGATGAGGAAATAAACATTTCAACTTGACTAAAGTAAGAAAGAGAATACATGGTAGAATAAGGGATTGAAACCAAGTCTTCTTTGACGTTATGATCTACACAATTTCACCCCCCTGCCCTATAGCTTCCGTCTTTTTTATGGGAGATGTCACTGCATCTAGGGGTGGGGCGTTGTGAAGGAATATCAGGATAACATCTAGAGAGGTTGCTGACATATTCAGAAGGAAGACTCTAGAACCGGGTCAGACATTCAGGATCAGCGACCTCCCAAGCTGGTAAAGAAAATGCTAGGAGAGTGGCAGATGCTCAGCAGCATGAAGGAGGCTTAGGGCCTCCTTGGCATTTATCTGACTTCTTGTTCAATTCTGGACTCTGAAGGAAAACTGGTATCTTCTGCCCAAAGACATTTTTTAGGTCTTTGCTTCCCTTGCTGGGAAATTAGTCTTTCTTATGGAGCTAGGGTATTTCACTGTTAGACCCTGAGGAGAAAGGTGTGTCCCTTAGCCCAAATGGAGGCTAGAGCAGGCTTTTTTTTTTTTTTTAAAAAAATTAAAATCAAAAAAAGGGGTCCGGGTTTTTTTTTTTTTTCAGTAGGAATTCTTATTCTCTGTGATCCCAGAAAATAAGAAGTCTATGTGGAAACCTTGAATTTTAAGTTTTTTGATGAATATTCAGAGGTGGAGTACCACTTGATGGCTTGGCTTTAGAAGTTGAATAAAGCAAGTCACGGAGAATAATTACATTTAGGTAGATCAGGTGTTGGTGAGAGAGGATAAGATGGCGCCTATGGAAAGGATGACACTTGTGGTAAGTGTTAGGGTGGAAGTGAATATAGGTAGGTGTTACCCAATAGAAATATAATGTGAGCCACATATGTAACTGGACATTTTCTAATAGTTCACATTGGTCAAATTAAAAAAAAACTAGTGAATTAATTTTAATAATACATTTTATTTAAAACAATATCTACAAATATTATTATTTCACTTTATGCTTAACATAAAAATGTAAAAATATTTTACTTTTAGAGGAGGGTATGAAGTCTTTGAAATCTGTGTGTATTTTACATTGACAACAAATCTTAATTTCTTAATTTCAAGTGCTCCATAGGCATACGTGGCTGGTGGCTGGTACTGATCAATGTGATTGTAGCTAATTAGACCTGGAAGTTTAGCCGTGAAAATCTCCGTGGTACAATTTGAGGAACTCTTAGAGAACTATAACGTCTCAGCCCCCAAAGTGCTACTTCACCAATATTGACCCACAATATAATATTCCCAACACAGTCTCAATTGTACTTGTCATTTCTAACATAATTTCTTTCCTTTTTAAAAATTTGTTTATTTATTTGAGAGAGGGAGTACATGTGAGCTGGGGGAGGGGCAGAGAGAGAGAGGGAGAGGGAGAGAAGCAGACTGCCTGTTGAATGTGGAGCTCCACGCAGGGCTCGACCTGATGACCCTGAGATCAGGACCTGAGCTGAAATCAAGAGTTGAATGCTTAACCGACTGAGCCACCCAGGCACCCCTAACATCATTTCTATGATATTAAAAAATGTCTGGATACAAAGGGTATTCCTGAAGATAGGCAGAGTGAATTCTTCTATGTACCAGGAATTAGTAACTTCTCCATGATTTTAAAAAAAGTCTATTTCAAACGCCAACTACCCTGATGTTGGTTTTGTATGCATGAGTTTCTCTAAGGAGAGTATAATTGCTTAGGTAAATGTATGTTGATTTAGCATTCTGACATATCCCTAAAACTAGAATTTAGGTTCCTGTGTTAGTGTTTCTTAACCCTGGTTATCTATCAGAATTATCTGGGGAGCCAGGGATCCTTTGGCAGTTATAAACTCTGGGATTGCTCTTGGGCAGGTCTATATTCCAAATCTTCTATGAGGCATTTGGATGGACAGCTGGGGTTGACAGCTACTACTATGGGCTTATTCCCATATCTTAGAGATGAGAATAGGCATGGGAGGTAGTAATTGTCATGAGTGATAGTTGGCCTGATTCTGGAAAATGGAGAGAGCTAAAATTTTATAACTCAAAAGTAGAGCAGAGTGGAAGGAACAAAAAGAAGAAGCTTTAGAGGGCAAATCCAGAAATGATTTGGTTCATCCTGACAAAACCAGCCAGACTTTACATGGGTAGGAGTTATACCATCTCTCTCCTGGAACATAGTCAACATTAAAAAATAATTATTTGCTGCATCTCTACTCAAACCCATCCTATTTGCGGGCCTTTGGGAGAGCCTCCAAAAAAGGTTTCAATTGCAAATGAAAGGTGCAATTTTACAGTCTGTGAAGGAAGAAGAATATTTGAAATATATGAATTTAGAAACTTCTAGATATCATAGAACACAGTGTTTCTTATTAATATTTTTAAAAAAGGAAATTTGTTTCATCTGCCAATGTGATTACTTAAGTAAAAGAGTAATTAGATATTTCCCCTAGAGTGCTATTGAAATGAGCCCAAATTATCATCCTATAAGTAAATATCAATACATTTCCACCTTTTAGATGCTTTAAAAAAAAAGCATTAGTAAGAATATATGTGATTATTTTTGGTCACCTGTCTTCTGTTCCATCTTGCCCAGAACTTATGCTTTGTGTGTAGAGACTGCTTTTCTGATCCCAGCTAATCCTCTTTGCTCATTCCCAGCTATGCCCTAACCTGATGATAATTAGCCTCCTCAGAAAGGGAAATTCTTAATTATGGTACTTGAAAACGGAAAGGGGCAGGAAAACTACAACTGCTTAGAATTTCAAAAGAGAGAGGAGTCAGTTTAGGTTCTGAACCTGACAAGGGCTTGAGGGCTGGATGGGTCAAAAGGGAATATTTAATAATCTAAATATATAATATGGCGGCACTAAACAGGTAGAGAATGCCTGACGTCTAGACGGTAGTAAAATAAAATGTGGGACAGGTGTGAGAAGGAGCTATGGAAAGGCTTTAGAAGAGAAATAAGAAAGAATTATAGAAGTGGATAGAACAACAAAAAGAAAAAGAACCAACAAAAAGAAGTGGATAGAACAGTTCCACTGATGGTGAGTGATTTCATTGCACTTGGGAAGTTCTTTGCTTTTAATTCCTGCCTTTCATGGAGGTTATTTCTAGTGTTCTTTCCATCCTTGCTTCACTTACTCTAAGTCCTAGGGGAGAGCATTGGGTTGGCCATGCTCAGGTTACTTGCTTGCCTCCTGGTTTTATCACAGCAGGACAAGTATGTTCTGTTCACCCTCCCTGGCTTCTGTAGTTGGAGACAGGGATCTGGAGTTACTGGACCAACAAGATGATACACACTGGGAACTAGGAAATCAGGATGCTTGTAGGGAGGGGAAACGGATGCAAGACAGCCAACACAAATCAACCAAACAAAAATATAACTGTCCTTTACAGTTCCTA